GGTGGGGTCGGTGGGGGGGTGGCGGTGTAGCCAACTTTTGAAGCCTGTTATTCATCTTGACGGGAAAAGGGCAAGAGCAATGCTTCAGACAAACAAACAAACAACCCTTCGGGATTTCACTGGCGCCGCCCCAGCAGGGGTCGGCGGATAGTAACCATTATAGTACTCTTGGGGCCAAGCGCAGGGCGTACTGAACCTCGTCCTGTCCCGCTACACTGATGCCAACTGTACCTTGCCTGCTTGAGTTCATCTTGAAGGGCTCCTTGAAGAGATCTCGAAGAGCTTTCTATTCCATAGTGGTACTACAAGGGTTCTATGGTAGGAACGAGAGTCGACTTTTTTCAAGTTTGCCCCTATTCTGCGGGTCCGTTTGGTTTAGGGGCCCGGCATTACATAGATCTGCTTGGAGCGTACGGAGGGTGCATGAAGTGCGCAGATCCCACGGCACTTGAGCTAGGGCAATGCCATGGCGATGGTAATGAACATCCGTAGCACCTTTGCAGGCTTTGTGCAGTAAGTGAGCTTTCCTGCGGACCGTCTCTGCTTGCTGGAGTTTCTGAGGTCAGACATTGGATACCGGGGAAGGCGTCCAGCAGAGCTGGTACCAGCTGCCTCTGTCAAACTCGATCTGTTACGACCTAAACGATCCTCGGCGGCACGCTGCTTCGCTTGGCTTCCGCTTACCGTAACACTTCCCCAAACCCTGCTCGTACCCTCCAACCCCACATAGACCCTCCCTAGACCCTGAGTGCTGAAGGATAAGAGCCCTACACTCTAGAGACGCTCCCAAAACCACACCGAACTCTTCGACCCATGTCAAGCACCAACGAAAGGGCCCGACCAGCCCGCATCTTCGAGCGGCTAAGGTAGGCCTCCACTGCCAGTTTCGCTGCTACCTGAAGCCTCTTCGAGCAAACCTTGGCAGGGCTTTAAAAGGGGTTCCACGAGGTTGCACCGTGGCTTAGCAGACCGCGGTCTCTGCCCTGCAGATGTGGAACTATTTTCCGGGGGTTCCAAGAGGTCTCTACTCTTCTGCTCTAAACCCTAAACCCTAAGCCCAAAACCCTAAACCCCCAAACCCTAAATGCTTCGAAAGCGTCGCTTCAGAGATTTTAGGATCTTTGTCCCCAAGGTGTTGTCCCACGATCGAGGCGGCTCCGAGGCTAAACCCTAAACCCGAAGGCCATCCACAGCACCTATACTACAATATACTAGAATTACTAGAACATACTGTAATACACTATAATATACTATAACATAGTGTAATATACGAATATATCTGGTCACAGGAGATGTGAAGTGAAAGAGCGCCTGGCAACCATGAACCTTGTGCAAACCCAAGCGGATGAGGTTGAGCTGCGAGTACGCTACGGGAAGTGGCATTTTCCTGGAGGAGCTCTGTGGGGCTGTTGAAAGGTTTAGGTTTTTAGAGTCTAGATACTGGTTTAGGGTTTAGGGCCAGTTTAGGGTTTGAGTGTCATGGAAGTGAAATTCAGTGGCCGAACATCTTCCACCAAGAACCGCTCAGAACTTTGGGGTTTTTGTGGCTGCTAGACTGGAGCGGTTGTGCCGCAGACGCACTGATAGAAGCTTCGATGTAAGTCAGCAAGTTTCAGCCATTGTGTTCTAACAAATGGAAGGCGATGTCCTTCAAAAGGGTTTACAGCAGACGCTCGGTTACACCGTCTACTTTGACAGCTGTTGCCCAGCTCAAGCTTGGCACAGGTTTTGTTGATCCCTCGAGCCATCTGCAAGACTTAGAATCGCGAACACGACAACGAGGATATTCCAAATCTTGTGGAAGCCCTAAGCCCTGAAACCCTAAAGCCCCATAGCCAAAGACCCGAACCCCGGAACGCTAAACCTCTCGAACCTCAAACCCCAAAGCCCGGCGACTCAACCCGAGTCAGAGGAGTACCCGGACACGTCGTGCTCCGGTACCGTGACCAACTCGGTGGCATGGCCTCAGCTCCAGGAAGGGCAGCTTCGAATTGTCTCTTACGGGCATTTACGGGCAGAAAGGCAACTAGAAGCAGTAGTCAAAGAACGATCAAAGCTCATCTGCCACTTCTTGTTCTGGATTAGTGATTTGGGGTGTGGGGATGAAGTGGCGTGCTGTTGGGAGGAAGTGGTCGGTGGGGTGGGGTTAGCTGGGGCTGTTTTGACGTCGTTATGCCAGATCTCAGTCTAGTCTTTAGGGGCTTGGGGTTTAGGGCTTGGGCTTGGGGTCTGGGCTTGAGGTTAGCTTGCGCTTGGGGTTTAGTGTGGGGTTAGGGCTTGGCACCTGTTTCTGTAGTGGAAAGTGATACCTTTCGAATGGACTGACACAGTGACCCCAAGTTGCCAAGGCTGCCTGGAGAGGGAGAGGGAGAGGGAGTGTCGAAGCAACATTTTGGTCTAGTGGTTAAGCGCCTGGCATGATGTCAGAAGAATTCTCTGCCCATTCAGACAGTGCATGCTGCAGGGTTTTGGGGCCGAGGGGGGGATGGGGGGTGAACAGGGGGTGGGGTTAGGTGTGGTGGGGGCCCAGCCCAACAGCGGCAAGTCGCATTAAGACTGGTTTCTGTCCGTGTATACATGTGCATGTATGCACGCCGCAGGGGTAGATGCATGCATGGATGTACTGGACTGTACTGCGCTACTGGGCTGTACTGTGCTGTGCTGTACTGTTCTGCGGGTATGTGTAAATGATTAGTTGTCTGTAATACGTATCAGACTATTGACAATTTTTCAGCATTCCTCACATGACCAATTAGCGCAACCTCAGGTGTGTCGACCAGGTACCTTTGATGTGCTCCGGCAAACCGACAAACAAACTAAACAAGCCATCCTTTCATGGCTTTGCTCCTTTCCCCACATGTTGGAGACCATTGATCTTGAGGCACTTGGGTCTGAAGGTTGTGGCGTGCTTTTCACATTTTTCGCGGCTGCAAGCAGCTGTTGGGATGGAGGTAATCTGGGGCGTTGAGATGCACCACTTCTGAATGCCTGAGATGCTGAACTGACCCCTGCTGTTGAATCCAAGATGGCGATGGCCAGACACCTGACCTGGATGGGTGCCGTGAGCTGGTTCCAAGGAGCCTTGTCAGTTGCGGTCGGATTTGCAGGTTCACTTGTGACATGTTGGATGTCCATAGCCAAGGTAGGTTTGCAAAGCAGAAGTCAAATTCAACGCCCATCTGAAGTTAAAGGGCTTGCTTTGTTCAAATTGCCCCATGACGCAAGTGGTTTCAAAACGGCTACCAGGGTTTGGGGATGCAATCTTGACAGGGATGTAATGAAGCATGGAAGTGCGCTGCGTGGGGGTTAATCGCATGTCGTCCGCAGCCAAGGAGCTTGTACATCGGATGGCAACGGCCTGGGGGGGAAGGGGTTGGGAAGCCACAGACAATCTATAATTGTATCCCTTCGTTTTTCTTTTTGGCTGGGTAGCTCTCTGTCTGTCCATATTTTTACGGTGTCAGTCAGACTCTCTCTCTCTCTCTCTCTCTCTGTCTGTTTCTCTCCTCTCTCTGTTGATCTCTCCTTCTCTTTCTGTCTCCCTCCGTCTTTCTGTCTCTTTCTGTCTCTTTCCGTCACTTTGTATCTGTCTCTCTCTCTCTCTCTTTTTCTGGTCTCTTTCACTCTCTTTCTCTCCCTTTCTCGCTCGATCTCTCTCGTTTTCACTCGTTGCCATGTCTGCGAGTGCATTTGGATGAGAGACTCGGCAGAGCACACCATATGTGCAGTGGACTGTATTCCTTACTCGTTACCAAGGGTGCGTTCGTGTCCTCACGAAGTCCGCGTGTTTTGATGTGCAGAAGCAGTTGCACAGGTCGATAGAGAAATCGAGCGATGGATACGCAGTTGTGTGACACGAATAGTGTGCGATGTATTGCAGATGATGTGTGCTGTGTAATATCTGACTTCATGTCTGCTGTACAGCAGATGAAGCAGGATTGTGTTGGGTTCAGAGTCAAGGCATTCACACCAACTGCTGCGATTATGATGTGCGGGCCCACAAAGAATTGCAGTTTCGTGCCTCGCTACTCGCTTGATGAGTTATGAGTTGAGGGAACATGTGCTGTCGGCCCCTTGGGGCCTCAGCCCTCGACCGAAGCACTTAAAGCGTGCGATGTCTGCCGCGCCATCTTCATCGTCAAAGCCCAGTGCCGCAAGATTCAATGCTTGCCCTGACAGGCAAATACATGCAGTTCAACAAGCCGGTCACGTGCTCAAGCATTCTGGGATGTTGGGGGCAGAAAGGTTTGGAAGTAAGGGGGGCCTATGGTCCAAGGTGGTCTTGGATCTTAAGTGCTTGGCAAGGGGAGCCCTGCATTTCGGAGGCATATGCCACCAGCTATAAGCATCGCCAGTTCTGGCACCCCGACGGGCTTGTGTCCTCCAGACTCCAGAGCTTTTCAACCCCGAGGTTACTTCCTACCCGGACTGCAGCGCCCAAGGCGCCGTGGACATCGGTGAAGGCTCGAGCCGATCAGGGCTAGCGCCTCTTCATGGGTCGAAGCTCTGGGCGCTAAGCCGTGGATCCGGCTTTCTTCGTCTGCGTCCGCCAGGTGCCGATGTGACGTACGAGGCAAGATACTACATGCAGCCTCTCCCTCGCAGTTGGATCACAGCAAAGGCAGCAGCTTAGCACAGTTCTTGTACCGTGGAGCCTTCACTTGGACGCCCGCACGCATGTCGTCTGTCCGGTAAGGTTCTACTCTGACAGCAGCTGCACGACTGAATTCCAGGCAGGCCGATGCAGTATAAGCTCAGGCGGACTGAAGCCAGCTGCACAGCACGTCGGGAATCAACACGCAATGAGAACGTAGCACTGAGCTTCGCGGAAGTCTGTGCTGCTGCGTGATTAGAGGGACTAGCTGCACTAGCTAGCCACCGTCCAGGTCAACGAGTTCAGCTCCTTCCAGTACAACCGGTTTCAGTGGAGGGTCTACCGTGGATCCCAGCACTGCCTGGACTACGTAGATGTGCCCCGAATGCAAAGACTGGCATTAACTATCGTGCAAGCATCCCGTCACACCAGTTCTTGATGAAACCGGGCCGTCGCAACAAAGTGAGTCGACCGACCAGCTGGACCAGCCCGTCACACCTTTACACTTTACACATCATGGCGCCTCACAGCAACATCTATGCAATGCAGTTCGCGACCGCATGGCTCACTTATTGCAGACGAGGTTATGGCATCATGAACTGCCGTATACAATGCTGCCGGTTTTCGAGTTCAATGCGTTTAGTGCTTATTGGTTTTGCTGTCCTAGTTACATATCATCGCAACTTTATGTGCCCTAAGTGGATCTGAAGCTGTTCGTACTGCACGTTTTGCGACTCCGAACCTTCATGCAACTGATCTTGCATCCCCAAGTATGAGCACTGCTAGCGGCACGTGCTGCAAGCACAGATGAGGCGACGACGCGGCCTTCCAACTGGACTGCGGCAGCTGGAGCCCCAGATTCTCGTAGGTCGTAGGTTCTCTCACTGTGATGTTGATGGCCTGGGAAGAACCTCCCGAGGATCCCGTAACCCTGCAAGTCTTCAATCCTGAATCGTAAGCCTAAAGCTCCCAAGACCCGAAGCGCGATCAAAGATCAGTACATCAGCAGCTTCTCACTAAACACAAGCTGACCGGTTTGCAAGAGTTGCGGCTTTAGAAGTCCTGAGAGGTCATCAATGCTGACGTCTTGAACTTCAAGTTGATGTGCCTTGGTCGGAGCTGATGGGTTGAATGTCTGCGGGTGTTCAGGGTCGAGGTCTCAAGGTTCTCCACAAGTCTGAGCTTGTCTTGCCTTCCGGGATCACTGTGGCTATCATGGCCTTGCACAACTTAAATTTACACATACACACATACACATGCAGTGTTTCATTACTAATGTACCACGGCTCGATGGTGATGGTGACAACGACTATTGCGGGGTCTTTCATATCTCAAGTGTGAGCGTTCTCGCCGCTGGTGGTAATGCTGCTGCTGCTTGCTGGCCCTGTTGCTTCTATGCATACTCCCACTGCTGCAGCGACCACGACAATACCGGCTGCTGCTGTAGCTCACTGTTTGCCATTGCTAAGAGTGTTCCAGCAGTTTAGCGACTGGCGTCATGGCAGTCCTTTGATTTCTGGCAAAAGGGCGACTTCTAGGACGACTGCTTCTAAACTCCTGCGCCACCGCGACTGCTGCTATAGCCCAGCTATCAAGAGCGACAGTGTTCGGCAACACGCGCCGTCGCCAGCACACAATGGTGAGCGCCATGACCATTGAGACTGACTGGGGAAGATGCGATGATACCCATGATGCTGTGGCGAGAACGGTCGCGACCACATGGCATGTGGCTTTCCGTCTCGCAGTAGAAGATAGTGGCACATAGTGTCACTCAGCACCAAATCCGAAAAAAACTACTTGGACTGATGCTAACCGCTGTACACATGAGTATTTGGGTCCAGAGTCTACGGGCTCATCTGGGCCTTGAAATCACACAGGAATCTTGAGTGAGGAAGGCTCGGACTGCGAGTCGTTGTAGTAGGGACAGCTTCAGTATAAATTCGGTTCAGTCTGGATGGGAAGGTCAGCGTACTATCTGAAAGTCTGAAAGTTCTAGTCTTTCTCGAATTGTGATCAGCAGCCCAATCATCTTCACAAGCTCTTCCTCTGCCAGGTGTGGCAACATGGATGGTCTCGGCAACGGTATATTGGTGCCTTGGCCCTGCTTTGGTTCAAAGACATGGAAGGTTCGGGGTGCCGGGATTTCCGGCTAAGGCCAAGGGCTCCGACATTTGGCGGGGCTTCATTATTCGGTCTCCTCACTTCAAGAGCTTGTCTGAGATCAGGGCTGACAGCGAATCATGCCGCGAGTTGCTCTCCGCTAGTTTCGGTGCAATAATGAATAATAGGAACTACTCGTCACGAGTGAAGAAGACACAATGAGCGGTTGCTGTTGTTGCGGCTTCTGCTGGTGATGGCCATCCCTTTGCAGGTCAGGCGCCACAACGGGAATGTTTGTTCTGGCACATCTGCAGACTCAGAGTACTGGAGAGATGTGAGCCTTGGCGCAAAGAGATGGTTAGAGCCATCATGTTGAACTTGATGGTTTTCTTTTCTTCCTGGCTTTCGGAGATCAGCTGCCGGTTACTGCAGAAATCCAGGTTCTTCCCCATGAACCTGTTCTTGGTGCAGGACTTCTTCAATGGGGCCGCTTCGCCAAACATGGCTTGCGCCGCAGTAGCTGTAGTATATCATTCATGTTGTTTAGTATGAGTATATACTAGTATATACATGATTATGTGTCATACGCAACGGCAATGCTTGTATGCAGCTGACCACGACTGAGGAATGTGTGGAGTGGGGTTCCATGTGGGTGAAGTTTGACGCTCGGCCAGCAGAGCTCTGACTTCTTTCTGCTTCAAGAGTGAGGGTCGAGCAGAAGTGGGGTTTGGGGGTTAGGGTTTTGGGGCTTCCCTGCAGCTTTCGCACCGACACGATGGGAAGTTTTCAGATTGTGCTTAGTCGTAGGCCTGATATGATATGATATATATATATATATGTGTCTGTCTGTCTGTCTGTCTGTCTGTCTGTCTGTCTGTCTGTCTGTCTGTCTGCCTATTAGCCTGCCTGCCTGTCTGTCTGTCTGTCTGTCTGTCTGCATGTATGTATGTATGTATGTCTGTCTGTATGTATGTATGAATGTCTGTCTGTATGTATGTATGAATGTCTGCGATATAATGTGATGTGATGTGATGTGATGTGGTATGTATGTATGTATGTATGTATGTATGCATATATGTATGTATGTATGTATGTATGTATGTATGTATGTGCGTGTGTGTGTATATATATATATGTATGTATATATATATACATATATATATGGTATGTGTAATGTGTGCGCAGCGGTTGCTGCTTGAACATCTCGGTATATCATCATTTACACGATTTCCGATGTCGTGAGCCTGAGGACAAGAAGTGGGACACCATGCACTACCCCGACTGCTCGCAGTTTGCCTGCAGGTCAGGCTACTGTTCTGGAGGACTGCGGCAAACAGACGTTGACTTTCAGACCGACGGGTTGGACCCAAGAGTTTATGGACTTTGGGTTTGCGGGTTTGGCGTTAAGGGTTTACGGTTAAGGGTTGTGGTATGCTAGACGTAGAGTGCATATAATATGTGTATGAAGTACACATGGTGGCAAATACATTGTATTATTTACCATCTTCTGCACCGTGCGGTTTGTTTGCGGTACGTCTTCGGTTTTGGATTTACGCATCCATGATGAATGAAGACTGTAGATACCGGACAACCATGATTGAGCCACATCATGTAGCTAGCCGTCTTCTAGCGATTCTAGTGTACATAGTTGGTGTGCTGAGGAGGCAGTGGCTTGAAACGGAAGTGGGGATGATAGCGATGCTCTACGACAGGTGGATCATTTTCTGGAGTAGAGCCTTAAGCAAAGTTGTTCTGAAACTCCAAAGCTGACAGATACCTTGAAGTGAACCTCGGCAGCTGCAAACCCCAAGCTTTTTCACAGGACGCCTGCAGCAGCCCTACACCGGGGCCAGCCCGTACGTCGGCGATATCAGGACGAAGCTCCATCGTGCTTGCAGTTGCGGTTTTTCGGGAGTTGTTGGATGCTTGCTCATGGTGCCTCCCTCATCCTGAGGACGCCAGTTGCGCAAGCCCAAGTCCTTCCTAGCCGCGGGCTGCATCAGGCGCGGACTGCAATGGCCAACAAGTGTGCAAGGTCGTGCGGATGTCTTAACTAACACGAGGTTAGTAGGCTCTAAAGGCCTCACCGTCTGCAAATGCCAACACCAAAGCCGCCTTCCTTTTCACTCGTGAGCTGGTGGACAAAGCTCGAGAGCACCAGCCCACGAGTGGATGAGGTCTGATAGTGTAATTTCGCCTGGGGGTGTTCGTGGTGTTGTTTACATGGTGCTACTCCTCGAGCTATATGACGATGCCCCAAAGGTAAGTCGTAGCCGCAACCTGTATCATAGTTATGCTTACCATAGAGTTGAAACCCTCAATCCGAGTGCCAAGCCTGGCATCCATGAGAAATTCTACTGCCCCACACTCTAAACCTGGCCGGCCTAACCCTGAAACCACCCAAACCCTGAACCCTGATAGCCTTCTCACCTAAATCCCTGAATGCCAATTTCTGTTGCAAAACCCAATCCGTGACAGTAACCCTTATAGCAACCCTCATAGGAACCCCAAAGACCCTCACCGTAGCATCCCGGCAGGCGGCAATTGGCTGGTGGATCTTCTTGGGTCTCGCTGCAGGGGTCCCCAGTCGCAGCCAACAGGCTTGCGGATTCCGGGCTTAGGATTTCCGGGCGGCTTTAGTACGGAGCGCGAGTTGCCCAGACTACCCGATCGCACCTCAAAGCCGACCCCACAGCCATGCCATCTTGAGCCAATCTCGGGCTTGAATAATTAGAAGAGGGTTTTGGAATATAGTATCATCACATTAGGAGCACCAAAGGAATCGCGGTAGTGATCGTAAACGCTGGCACGCAAGGGGTTGGTGGGGGTAGGTGGTGGCAAATGGAGGGAATGCCTAGTCAATTAGTCCATCCTCCCCTAAACCCTAAACCTAAACTCCCCTAGTAACGAGCATGTCCTGAGTCTTTGCCGCGATGTCTGAGTTGTTTGTGTTTGCTTGCACCCCCTCCCACAGTACTAACTACAGATTCAGTCTTAGAGCCTTAGGTGGGGTTGTGCTAAGGGGCGAAGGGCGGCGAAAAGGTTGCATTCCGGCCTGAAGCGCAAGTTTCGTTTGGAGTCCTTTTGATTCTTGGGTTCTGGGTAGAAGTTTGCCCGTGCTCCTCCCGTTATCTCGGTGGCTCTGTTTTCTTGAGTGCCCTGAAGGGTTTAACAGTAGCTCGGATGTACAAGAGGGGACTGATGTTTTTGGTGACTGCTAGAAGAGCAAGTAAGTAGCAGAAGCAGCCATGGAAGACAAAATGGAAGGTACAACTAATAACTAATAGCAAGAAGCATCGACCCAACCAGATCCTGAATCCCCAAATCCTAAACCCTACCTAAACCCTAAACCCCAAACCCTAAACCCTAAAGGCCTGCTAGTACCTTCCACGAAGTGGATTCTGCTTAGCTGGATTGGTGAGGCGCAAAAAGGTGTTCAATAACAGCCTTAAGTCCTTAAGCCCTAAAACACCGGAAAACCCGAACTGCCGGGCATCAACTCCCTTGCCCAGGTCCTGAGCCTTCGGCTTCCGAGCGCTGCATGCTGAGTCGGCGATCAGAATTAGGGTCCCCCCTTGGGGGGACTTCTTTCTAGGTGGATGCCACAGCTATAGTCTTCGGTGTTAGAGCGCTAGGGCCTTAAGATCCAATCACCCAGGATGTGAACTCGACGGGATGCTTCATGCTAAGAGACTCCCGGTACGGGTTGAAGCTTACATTCACCCTAAGGCCCTAGACCTGAAACCCTGAACTCCTAAACCTTAAACCACTAAACAGCAAGCTTTGTACAGGGATCGGCGAGGATCCTACCACAGCCAGCTGCGCGCCTTTCGGCCCCCGAGTGGGGTGGGCACAACGAGTGCCTCGAGCCTTTCCGGAACACTCGGGCCTTCTGTTATAATTTAGCGGTCCTAGGGTTTAGGGGGTAACAGGTTAGCGGTCCTAGGGTTTAGGGTGTAACGTAACAGTTTTTGGGAGAGGCCGCTGGCACTGCCTGATGCGCGCGCGCTGGTCAGATCTGGCTCCCCACTGCTGGGCTCGGGGACTTGGGCCCTTGGGGTAAGGTGCTCATGGAAGCTAGTCATATGGAAACCAGAGCAGGGGGGAGCCAGAGCATCTTGACTTGGTGAAAGGGGCCTCGCTCAGCAGAGCTCTGCGATGCCTGGTAATTGAATGTTCTCACCTGCAAGACAACCCAGACCCAGCATCGCAACATGCTGCAAAAGCGAGCGGACTGATGTCTGAGGTTTCAATTGGCAATTGGTTTCAGAAATTGCCAGAGCCCCGCCCCTGTACCCTTGGCCGAGATCGCTGCGCCGGCATCCGAAGCTCCTCGTGAGAAAGGCGGGGCGCACCGTCCCAGCTCCGCGGTAGGTCTGTTCATTGGCAGTTGGAGATGGGCCAAGCGGCTAGCGTAGAGGCGTAGAAGTGATGCAAGTCTGAAGGTCCCCAAGAGTTCTGTCTGCCTGTAGCTGCGGTCATAGTCCTGACAGTAGCAACATGCATGGTTGCAGCTATGTTCGCTGGCAGGCTCCAAGCCGATGTCCTCCAAGTCCAAGGATACCCAAGATGCCTGGCTCTTGTGACGTGCCTGTCGGAGCATCTCCGCGATCGCTTACGAAAGTTCGCGGCGGCCGAAGCCCCGAGTGCTGGAAGCATCTGTCTTCCAGATGTCCTGAGTACTGGTACAAGCCCCTTGAGCTCAGGGCCATTGTGCTCCGATGGCGATTCCAAAGCAGAATCGGGAGCCTCATGCCAGAGTAACCAGACGGAGCGGAGTCGACTAGGACTAGGATAGACAAAAGGGCCAAAGTACTGCCCGAAAGAGTCCAAGTTCGCCTGAAAGCAGGCAGTAGCGGCGGGCCATTGATTCAGTTAGGGACAAGTTCGCCTGACCCGAAGCAGCATTCTCAATCAAACTGCCTGGTCTTTGTTTGGCATAAGGATGCATCACGACAAAGAAGCGTTGGCGTGACGGTTATTCGCATAGGACATGGAATTTCTGCGGGAAGCTCGCGGATATTTTAATTGAAGTGTGGCGCAGGTCATTTCTGCAAGGTTCGCTGATCGCGCCGAGCAGAAGCCAGGGGCCCTGCACAAGGGATTGAACCACGGTTGTCTCGGCCATAGATGTGGGACTGAAGCAGGCATGTACCCCGATCGACTATCCCCCACACCGGAACAGTAGCTTGTGTTCGGACTTCCCTGATGAGATCTGGTTCGGGCGAGTTAGTGCTCACTTGCGCAGTGGGTAATGGCCGAGGCTTCTCAACTTCTATTCCGAGATGAAGGATGTCCGAGAATCTTCGCGCACGCAGGCCTTTGGGCGCCCCTTGCGTTCTTTGGGCTAAGGGTTTAGGGTTTAGGGATGTCTAGGGTCTGTTCAGAGCGCTCAGTTAGACTCGGGGCTCGGTCGCCGAGAGCTGTCGGACTTCGAATTACTGCTCTGGTTGCCCGAATTCTGCGCCCTCGAGTCTTCTCCCTGAATGTCTGAAACACGGAGCCGCGAATCTCCGGGGAAAGGTGAGGAAGATACCGTTCACTTCTGCCGGGAGCTCAGCCGGAGTCAGGATGGCCAACCGATCGCGCCCTACTGATTTGCACTGAATTATATGGTTGTCTTGGGATTGAAACACCACTACTACCGCGGCCGAAGAACAAGAGTAGCAATAGTAGTGGAGTAGAGGATCACCGGATCACCTCTTCCGTTTTCGGGGGTTCGCAACAACGAGACTAGTTACCCTTGGTTCATGCCGGTCGGCTCCCGTGTAGTAGCCGTGTCCCATGCCATGACTAGTATACACGTGTGCAGAATCTCTGTTTTTCTCTGCATGAGGATTGGAAGGGATGGACACAGTGTTCCCCACAGCATAGTTGGATCTTTCTGATGGTTGGCTGTAGCTTATCTGACCGAGTGGTTCGATGAAGGCGCGTGAGAGCAGAAAGAGCTAACAACATCTAGGACCTAGTCCGGGTCCCAAACTGCCTCTTCATGTTTTCTGTTCCGGCCCTTGTGGTTTTCTTTGCCTTTGACCGGACCTTCGCTTCTCAGGCGACCCGGGCATGGATGGCTGCCAAGAAGGCTCGGAGGGACGAAGTTCGGGGGTCTCGGGGGGGGGGGGGGGGGGG